TGTGTGTGTGTGTGTGTGTGTGTGTGTGTGTCTGTATGTGCGCTGCTCGACTGTACTGATTTTTCATCTCGAGACCTTCAAGAGCTACAGGGCTGAAACTTTGGGAACTTAATCTACACACACATACGGGCCCCCATCTCCAAAATGGACGGTCTTACCCGCGTGGTACCCACGTAAGAGCCCGCCAAAGTTCTTTGCAGGTAAGCTGCTAACTCGCGAATCAGAAAAGCTAGAAGGCTAAAATTTTAAGGGGACGTTCCCCGTCCAGTTAGGTATTCATGAGCTCAAACCTAGTCCCCAGGTATGCGTGGTACCCATGTGCGGGCCCGCCAAAGTTTTTTTCGGATAAGTTCGTAACTCGGGGATCTAAAAAACTAGAAAGCTGAAATTTTAAGGGAATGTTCCTCATCCAAGTAGGTGTTAGTGGGCTCAAATCCAGCTCCGGGGTGGGCGCGGTACTTACGTACGGGCCCGTGAAATTTTTTTTTTAGCAAATTGCTAATCAGAAGCCAGGAAAGCTTGAAAGCTAAAATTTTAAGGGGTGTTTTCTGACTGACGGCCAGTTTTAGTTTGTTTAGCTAGAAGTATTTGCCGAAAAAAACCAGTGCCGGTAGCGACAAAAACTGTGGGGATCTATGCAAAAAGCGCATCTTCGCACGGGCAGCCCGTGCATTAGCCAATTATTTTCATTTTCAGAATGAACTTGAAGAATACATCTTAAGTTTAACACTTCTTTCTCTGTTGCATGATCATCATTCGTGCTTTAATTATTGCAGTCTGACTTTGTTGCCAGCAGCATCATTATGTTTTCCACCAATTAATTTAACCTCAGTTCTTTGCTTTATGGATCTGTGTATGAAAGAATTTAGCCTCCAAGCCTAATTTTGAACAAACGTGAATATAGAATATCCTTGCAAAAATTACAGATTCTTGCTTGTCCAGTACATTCGTAGCTTGTAAGTAAGAAATTTGATGCTGGTTGAAGACTGACTAAACGAGCTTAAATTTTGCATCGAGTTTCTTGCTGAGCATCATAAACCTAAATAATCCAATTCCTCGTAAACCTCGTCCATTTTTCCAGTTCTTACCTCCAAGCTAATTGTTTCAGCTCCTTTCCAGTCATTTTTCCCGTTTCTTCTCTTCTTTTACGACCCCTGTGGCCTGAAGTAGCATTTCCTACCTATCTCTGTGTCTACGATGTCGTAAAAAAATTGAAGCTAAAGTTCCAGTCCAGTCTTCTCAATAATCCAAAAGGACATACCATTGGAATCGCAATTCATACCCCGACCCATCCAAGCAAGCCAACCCGAATCCAGGTAGTTGCTGTTGAGAAGCATGCCTCTACTGTTCGCTTTTCTGCCAAAAATTTTTCGATTTTCGATGAATTTTTTGCTAATTTTGCCTGCAAAGTACCTGTTTGGCATCAGGCAAGGGTAGTTCCCCCATTACTTATCTTTGTTATTGCTAACCTCCTCCTCCTCTTCTCATCGTTTTGCAACCGGCAGGGTATTTGCAGTGAACAATATGGATACGGGCGGATGGAGAGAAGAAAGTTACGATGAGGGAACGGCCGGTGGCTGGGGCGAGGCATCGTTCGTGGATGGTGACGAAGGCCGAATCAGTGGAGAGCGTTCGGAGAAGTTCCCATTTCCGACTTCGGTGAAAGATCTCAGTCGTTTGCCGAGCAGTGCCGAGAAAATCACAGTTGGAAAATTCTCGTTCACTATGGTATGTTGTCATTTTTGTCTTGTTTAATGAATTTTCCAAATATATCTTTCGGTAGTTGACCTTCTCGTATGGCTGCTGTTCTTATGGCGAAACATCGCTTCACTGGAATTTGTCAAACAAGAAAATTGCTGCAGTGCAGAAATGGTTCACTTTCAAAGACCTGTGTGGGAAAGTATATAATAAGCACTTGGAACACAGAGGAAAGTACATAATAAATAGGGCTCACGTACGGGCACGTGAAAACTATGGCGGGAAAATTCATAACTCGCGAATGAAATAAATGGTACGCGCACCAGACTAGCCGGTGCGATCATGCGTTTTGTGCAATTCAGCCCATCGAACGATTGTCTACTAGTGATTTTCACTGCTTTGTGCTTTAGTTCATGCAAAAATATTCAAACATTGGAAAGCAGTTAAACACGCACCAGCACATGAAAGCTGAATTCGAAACCTTGAAAGATGAATATCTTTCCGTGATTCCTGAGTTGATAGTTTAACCGCCAAAATTCTCACGAAACCGTAGGTGGTACCCGAGAGCGCGAGAACGCTGAATTTGAATGGGCAAGGTTGAGCGTGTCCAGGGGGTCATTACCTTAAAACTTCAACCTCCTAGACTCCGTGGTTCCCGAGATATTAACTGACCCGTGAATAACTTTCACGGGGCCGTACGCGTTACCCGCGAGTACGGGGAAGCTGGGTTTAAATTTGCGGGGTCACACGTGGGTGGGGGACGTTCCCGTAAATTTTCAGCTTCCTAGCTTTTGTGGTTCCCGAGTTGAAAGTTTCGGACAAGTTGCTGCGGACACACCACACACAAACACACACACACAACCCCGATATGGAAAAACTGGAAGTGCCATTTAGACTTCCCAGATAAGCAAGCCTGTATGTACATGGAGATGGTATCCTGTCTGTGAACTGATAACTTCTGATAGATTTTGCACTTTTTTCTGGACCAAGTACAGGCGGCGGCAGCGGAACGAACACCAGCGGGGAAACTTGGATGTCGCTAAAACAGCTAATTAAAGCTTCGAATTGTTTTAACAAAAGTCACATGCAAATGCTTTTCAGTTACGGACTGTTGGGCAGCTGAAAGCGGTTGTGCAGGCAGATCGAGGGCAAACTGTGGAATATACACTGGCCGATTTCCACGATCCGGACGTTGAATTCCTCGTCATTCATTATAAAGGCGTGGTAGGCCTGGTTTTTATGCGTTTTTGCATCAGTGAAAAACAAACACATCGCAGAGAGACCATCTTCGAATGAACTGCGACTGACTTTCAAAAGCCCTGAGATCATGAAATGCTACATTTTGAGAGCTATCCTGAGAAATGATCAGAAAAAGTTTTAAAATGTTTTTGTGTGCTGGCTGTTGAGGGACTTCAAGGTTGATGCCTGTGACCGCAAGGCTCGGCAAGTTTTGATTCCGAAGTCTTTACGTTTGTCGGGTGAGGGAGATGATCATCATCTTTAGTGTATTGATATATTCTTGCACAATCGCTAGCCGTAAAAGAATGCTAGTTTGCTACTGCGTGTTACTATTTTGCTAGATTCTGTGTAAAAAAAAAAAGATGCGCGGAGAGATAGGGCTTCGAAGCACTGTTACTTCAGTTTTTTGTCAAAATTCTACAGATATATGTAAACATTCTTTTATAGGTAGCAAACGGTTTTGCAAATTCGGAAGTTTTCAGCGAAGGAGTTGATCTGTCCGTGGTTGGAAAGTTGCGGAGTTTCAGTGATCGACTCTGTATTGTTGCTTTTGATGTGAGCTTACTTTTTAGAATAATTTCAAATAAAAAATTTTGAAATTACAGCCTTTATCCCCTCTTTGTTTTATAACCTGTAGCTTCGTATTCTTTTACAGATTAACGTATATTTGTG